ACGATTAGAGTTCCAGATGCCTTATCGCTTCATTTCAGACAGGAAATGCCGAGTCTGTGTTGTGAGCAGGCCGCAGACAAACGGGTGATTCATGCTCTACAGGCAGAGGTTTAGGCTCCGACTTAGTTCGACGTATTTTGAGGCGGCTATTTTTCCTTTTTCAGTGTAGTCCAGGCAGTATCCCTTTTTTCAACAGCAAAACGCTGGCGTATTGGAGACTGTTCTGCTACTTTGATTCCGTCTTGTAGCCGGTAGAAGATCCGTTTGGAGATTTGGCATCTAAGGCTTGCGAGCAGGTCGCAGATAGACGGGGTGGTTCAGACAGCAGACGGCCGACCCTTCGCACACTCCACGGTCCAACTCTTCTTACAGACTTCATCTTGCTGTGAAGGTGGGTTTCAAACTTTGTTTCTTCAACTTGTGTAGCTAAAACATTCCTCATCGTCTATAAAATGTAACCGTACCGTCTCACTTTGTACGCCGAAAAAAGTTAAAAGTCCCAAACTCTATTCAGATTTAGATAAATATATAAATAACAAAAAATTCTGCCCTTTCAATGGTCCTTTTTTCCTAACAGAAAACCGAGATACTATATGTGCCTGAAAACTGTGTATAAGTAAAAACGCCTCGCTTTTGGGGACCCTTTTTGGGAAGATACCGTTATACGGCTGTGACGTTGTAGAATAGATTTTGATATCTTTAACAACAATCTTGCTACGAGAATCAAGCTCCTTTCAGAACTACATTGCCTGTTTCAATAAAAAAATCTCAGTAAATTGCCCACGACATTCACAATAAATTATCTCATGTAATTTCTCTCACATATCCCTTAGTCTAGTTATTTGAACATTGAGGCACGACAAAAGATCTGACAAAATGTTTTCTCCACCCTTCTCGGCTTTCTTAATTCTAATGTTCTTTATCTCATTTATAGATTTATTTATTACAATTTCTCACATACATGAAATGCATGGTGAAACAGGTGGACATAAGGACATCTTTTCAAAGCCACCATGCCGAAAAGGTCATACTAATACATAAAAACATCATACATTACATTTATTCACAAGTTCTCAGGGCTTGGACACCCAATTTTTCAGAGGCAATATTCTAGTTATTCATCTACATACTATGTTGAAACCACAATATCCCAGTGTATATTGACCCTCATGGAGCAAAAAGTCCTAAAATTCCGACGGAAATGGTTACTGGAAGGGCCCTGGGCTGAATTTTAGGGTACCACCCAGAAAATAAAGGACTAATCTTGGGGCTTGTTTCTCCAGTTTCACCATCATGATCAGTCTGCTCCGAAGTTTCCTTCACTTCCCCTTTTTGCTAGCAAGGTCAAGTGTAGTGTTCTCTCCAACACTCAAGAATACTCAATAATGAATCTCACACCGGAGGAGTTTTCATGACTGTACTCTACTGGCTCGTATATACAGTGACAGGTTTGTAGGAGGGCTAAGTCTAACATCTGTCCTCTATTACTGGTGCGTGGCCTTGGTCTGCCTTGGTATGCGTGGGTGGAGCAGTCCTAACACATTTACTTAGTTCACATCACTACAGTCAGGGATATTTGATATCACCCCCCATCTTTTCCGTTGCCTTTCCCTTTTCTTCCTCCCTGGACTGTTCCTTGTTTTGGCCTGTCCCGATCGCGACGACCGTGACATGAGGCCATACCACTTAGTTCCCGTTTCCCGAAACCGGAGCGGTTTTACATGCCTCCTTATAGAAGAAGTCAAACCCCCTAATACACTGTAGCATAGCAAGAATAGTTTAATAGAATAGAATAGATTACAATAGCAGTTACCTTGTTCCTCTTACCTGTTCAGATATTGCATATCTACTGTTTATCCTATATGTATGCCAACGTTATTAGATTTAACTAGAGATAGTAGGTTTGATAAGTATATCGTACACGTAGAACTTCATGTTAGCACATAGTTATCACATAGCCTCCTTCGCAGTCTTGTTGGGGGTGGGCGTTATTTTTGGGAGCGACGCGAGTAATATGCGGCCGCGAGGGACGATTTGCTGCCGAGGGAGTTTTTGCCGCGGAGAGAAGGTTTCGCGCTCCAACGGCTAGTCATCACATCACATTTTTCTTGTCAATGTCTGTTTGCGATTAGCCCTCGGGCATGAATTTGCAATAAACAACTCAACTCAACTCATACATGTATATTTCTTTACGGAGATTGAAGCGGTATTATTTTACGGAATCTGAAGTGGTATGGCCAGGATAATTTCTGTTTGTTGTTCAAATCGACATATATGTACACCTTGTGCATTTTGCAAATTAAGCCACCCCCCTCCATTCCTTGGAACCAAGTTTTCAAATTGATCTACACCACAACAATATGCCCCCGTTCAAGATTTTTTTTAAATTTAAACTAATATACAAAATTTTACCAACAAACAAGATGCTTCACGTTTGGAAGATCAAACAAAAAATTATATCTATCTTGCAACGAAGTAGAAAACACCATTCACGCACTATGGGATTGTCCGAAGGTCTATAACAGTTGGGTCGTGTGGCGCAGTCGGTAGCGTGTTCAGCTCACACCAGTACCTTGTACAGCTCGACCCAGAGGTCGCGGGTTCGAACCCCACCGATCTTGTGCCCTACACCACTTTCCTCACTTCACTCAGGTGGAAATGAGTACCTAGCTTCGGCTAGGGACGTCACGTCCTTCGGATAGGACGTTAAAAGAGGTCCCATGTTTGGGGAGAGCCACACTACACGCACGTTTAAGAACCCACCACACCTTTCGAAAAAGAGTAGGGGCATGCCCCGGTGTGCGATGGTACAAACACATCTGTTACGTATGTGATTAACATCCTAACATCATCACCCGGACGGAGGCGTGGCGAACCCCGTCTTGTATAAGCTAACAAAAGGGTATGCCACCTCGTAAGGGGCGGTATAACCCCGACCAATACGGTCGACCGATGATGATGATGGATGAATGTAGATTTTGGAATATAATCAAGAATTGGTATGAACAGCAGAGAAGAGAAAAATTAAACATAGATGTATTTAATGTAATTATTGGGGACCTGGAAAAAAAGAGTCCTGTGCTCAACAATGTGATAATCTTATTAGTCAAAATATTCATCTTTAATCAAAGGGGCAAACACCTGATGTTAAAGCATGTTATAGCCTATTTGAAATCATATTATAAAACGGAACAAATTCTAGCCTCCAGAATGGACAAACTGTCAGCTCATTACAAAAATGGGGGCAAATGGCACAAACAATTCTGATTCGTGTAAATACTGTATTTGTTGGTTGTCCTTATGTTTGTTATATTCAGTTTGATATTTCAACCATTGATTTGCATCCATTATTTTTGTTTGATATTGACTGTTCTAATATTTTGGTTGTTATTGACGTTCGCATATTCATTTTTTTCATTATTCTGTCATACTTATTTCTGTTTGAAATAATCCCTCTGTCATATTTGAGTTGATTTTAAGTAAGTAACTCTGTAAGTAATTGATATTGTCATTTTCTTTTTGCTGTATATTACTATTTTGTTATAATATTTACCATGTGTTATTCTGCTGTTATTTATGGTAGATATTATTTATTTACGTTATAGTTTAACTATTTTCCACCTTCTATTATGGATCCGTGGCTTACGTCTTTATTAGTTATTGAACTTCGACCTTTTGTTTTTCTGTATGTGTTATGTATTTTTTTTTAATCTAATAAAAATGTAACAAAAAAATTAACCCCCCCCCTATTTAATACAAACTCCAGGTGTTCATATCGTACTCTCCGCCGGCCCGAACAACGAGAGGAACCTCAGAAAAACGCCACCAGATCGACATGGAGTCTAAACCCGCTCCTCTCGCAGTCTGCTTGACTGTGGTTCTCGCGTTCGTCGCCCAACAACGGGTGAGAGGACAACTCCCCCCACCTGTGTGTCAGACCTGGAACTCAACAACTGTCGTATGTAAAGGGGATACGGATATACCGGAGTTTCTACCCGTTCCGCCTGTACGGACCCGATTGCGTCTAACCCAGGTACCCCCCGGCATCCCCGAGTCTGTCATCACAGTAGATCTCCGTTGGAACAACATAACCATACTGTATAACGGCTCGTTTAGTGGGTTAGGAAACCTGAGATCCTTGGATCTGTCTTATAATAATCTACAGACTATCGAGGTTGGTGCATTCGCTGGGTTAGAGACATTAGAAAGTCTTGATATAGGTGATCGGTATAATCTTCCTGATGACGACACGTCTGTGCGAAATACGACGCAAATGTATTCTCTTCAAAATGGACTTTTCGAAGATCTGCGAAACCTGAACTATCTGACCGTGGTGACGTACACAGATAGAGTCGCCAGTGAGGGAGTGTTCTCAGGGTTATCTAAACTCAGGCATTTCAAACTCCGCGTGAAAAATACCAGCAATTTACCCGATCATATTTTTGAGTCTTTGACTTCATTGGAAAGTCTAGAGATACAGGAGCTCGGCGATGACATAAAAGAGGACCAAAATTCCACCACGAGAAGAGTCCACAACGGAAGTGGGTTCCTGCAACGACTCTTACTCTGGGCACCGCTGCACAACCTTGAAACATTGAGTCTCACTGATCTACCGAGAGCGAGTGACTTCTACTTTGGACCTGTATTTAGAAACATGTCCAAGTTGGATACTGTAGAAATAAGGTCATGTTCATTGACCCTCAATGTTGAAATGTTCCGACCGCTGCTACCGACTCTGAAACATTTACGCACTGCTATCGCTCGGATAGCACCCGGCCTGCTGAAGTCGCTCACACATCTGCAGACGCTGGATAATGACTCTTATTATTATAAGATTAGTACCATTATGGGTGTTCTGCCTGAACTCCGACACACGCAGATTCAGGAGTTGTCATTTCTCATCGCCCAGACAGAGGACATACTAACATCTGATACTCTGGCGGGAATAAAAGGTCTCAAACGTTTGAAAAAATTGCGGTTTGACTGGAGCAATATTTACACCATAGAAGCTAACGCCTTTGCGGGTTTGTCACATTTACAAAAGCTGGATGTGACTGGGTCCGTCTTCGAGGTGTTAACTTTACACGACAAGGCGTTCAGCGGACTGCCCTCGCTCACTCATCTTAACATGTCATATAACAAAATTTCTGCTTTACCACAAAAAGAGTTTGAAGAATTGCCCTCGCTCACTCACGTTGATTTGAGATCTAACATCTTACACTCCTCCCAAGCTCAGCTTCCAGAGACCTTGGACTACCTTGATCTCAGTCAAAATATGTTATACAACATACCGGGATTTCAGCTATCCCCATGTGACTTCCCTTTATCATTTAACCTCAGTAGTTTAAAAAGCGTGAATCATCTGAATTTAAGCTGTAATGAAATCAGCATTATTGGAGTCGGATGCCTACCTAAGAACATTACTGTGCTTGATTTGCAGCACAACAATATAAATACGATAATAATGAATATATTCTGCCTTACTAGTGTGCGTTATCTTGACCTTTCTAACAATGCCATCTCCCTTTTTTACAATAATGGTCCACCCTGTGGGCAATCAGTTTTGGAAACATTTAGGCTGCATAACAACGCTATAAAAGAACTAGACTTTTTACCCCAAGCTAAAATGAAAAACTTGAAAACGATGACTCTTTCTCACAACCAAATCCAGCGCATCAAAACAGGACAACTGACAGGGTTGGACCAGCTGGAACATCTAGATCTCAGTCATAACGAGATCAACACCGTCATGCCATCCGCCTTCCATGGACTATCGCGGCTACAATACTTGGATCTCAGTAACAACAAGCTAACGTATATATCAGAGGTGACATTTGAAGGTTTAGGCAACCTTACACATCTAAACCTGGAAGCCAACAGCATAGCAGTGATTGGGGACGCCTTTCAGCGACTGTACGGGTTGAGGCACCTGAATCTGAGGAGCAACAGGTTGGCTGTATTAAATCAAACAACACTGGGTCCTGTTGTCTACCGGTTAGAGACTATCGACATTGCAGACAACCCATTTTTGTGTGACTGTAAGCTAATGTGGTTTGTCGAGTTGGCCCAGGATAAATACGACAGGGTAGAGAACTGGAACAACCCCTATCCTGACGTCCTTCGACGGTACACATGTTCCCGTCCACCTGAACTGCGTGGAAGACGTTTGATAGACGGGTTAACAAAGAAACAGCACTCCAACGACAGACAGGATCCATCAGAACGAAAGTTCTTCAACAGAGTCTGTAGTCATGGATTCCGCCCCAACCGCCTCCTGGCTTGTGTGCTCGCCTCTTCGGGCATCTTCATCGCCATGATGACCATTTTCCTGGTCGACTACCACGTCGGCCGTGTTCAGTACTGCCTGTGGATGTTGGCCAAGTGGAGGAGACCGAAGATTGGTGAAGTAAAGAACCAAGGGCCGCCCAAATACACGCACGATGCTTTTCTTGCCTACAACAACCGGGACGGGCTTAAGTGTAGTTTACGGCCGCAAACGTGTTTTTTTCATCCCGACAAAATTACTGTACGTTGACGATATAACACAGCTGCCGATGTCGTCTTATTGCTCTCGGCCGTCTTATAACTGCGTCGGTGCTTTAGACTGCGTCGGACTTAAAATGCGTCGGGGCTTACAAATGCGTCGGGCTTACAAACGCGTCGGAGCTTACAAACGCGTCGGAGCTTACAAATCACGTCGGGCCTTGCAAATCACGTCGGAGACTGCGACGAGGATTAAGTCCTTATCTAAACCTGCGACGAGGATTAAACTTGACCGGGACCTTTTCACACCTAGTTAACACCTACCCGAGATGTGTATTCAATACACACCTCTTATCAATTTGATACTATTGATCGCGTGTTAGTATGTGCAAGTGCTCGCGTGTGTGTGTAACATCTGTGTACATAATATCACCAGGGTACATAATATCACCACCTTGAGAAATAGTAGTACTATCTAAATTTT